TATGTCTGGTTCATGTGAAGTAATTGATAATAAAGCTGACTTTGACTTTGGCTTTGATACACTAATGAAAAATAAAATGTTCCATTTCTGCCAAAAGATCCTCCTAAATCTTACACACTGGACCTTAAAAAAAAAATACATCCACATATTGAGTGACCTCTAACAATTAATTTAGGTCTTATTGTGTAGTTAGCAAGTGAGTACAGAAGATATAATAGCTACAAGTAAGTAAGTACCAGCTTCTGCCACTCCATGTGGTTGTAGAATGCAATTCACTTGCTGTGACTGGCTGAACTTATCGGAGGTGCCCTTTAAATCTGCTTTTATGTACGGGGGGAGGTGTATTGCGTAAGAGCTCATTTTCATTCTGCTCAAGAAGTGTCTGCTTGGCAAAATAAATAGTTTCATTCCATTATGCCATTTTCCATTATACTCTACTGTCTGATGAGGCAACATGGTTGTATATAATGTTCTTTCACCCTCTTTCAGATTCAAAGTCAGCTGGCTTTATTGGCAAGATTGACAGTGTTGATAGACAAAAACTAATGTATAAAGTTTGCCTAAAGATTCCATCTACAATTCTATCTGAGCCACTGGAGGGTCACAGAATGTACACGTGAAGGTTCAAACTACTTCATGGAAAAGTTGAGGTTAATCACAATGACAACGGCTGCTGTAATGTTTCTGTCTCAATGCAAAGCTTCAAAAATGTGCACAGCAAAATGATATCATTTGTCAAAGGGAGGAGAAAATTCTCAAAAATGATGACAGCATTTTCTGAGCTCATCAAACAGCTGTTATGAGACATTCACACTACACTGGGTGTTGACAAATACTTTTGTTATTGGTCACCTCTTATGAGCCAATTTGGAGCTGTTTTTCACCATTTTTCCTTAGGTGTCTCTGTTACTATACACTTTAAATGAAGCCTTTTGTTTTGGCCATTTTATTCAGTTTATAAGACAGACAGTGGAGAAATGACAGTGCCTTGACCCCATTAAGAAAATATATGATGAAAAACACAAACTTCTTAGCTTCTGAAATCTGATCAATTTTCTACTTCTAATTTGAGGATGGAAAGAAAAAAACTTCATTATAGTGAAGCTTTGAAACAGGTTCCTGACCTCTGAGTCACAGCCTACACCATGGCAACAACCGAGCCAATTAGAGACAGAATCTATTCCAAACCTATGTGGTGGCAAGCATGAATGAGAGAGACAGAGCTGTACAGGTCCACTTACAGACCTAACAACTGCACATTTCTTGGAGAAAAAGGTTCTTAAGGACGTTAAAGACCACTTCCTCGATTTTTCCTGGAGATTTCAAAGAATGGAATTTGCTTTCAGCAAATGCAGTCACTCAGTTGTCATGACAAGATATCTATTGAGGTAAGGCCACGAGATATGTCTGAAAGCTTTGAGAAAAATCCTGTAAGTGCATCCAGAGAGAAGTAGTACATCCAAGGTCAAGAATGAACTCTGTCTTTCTTTAATCAACTAAATGACAAACATTATGTTGGCTGCTGCTAGCAGGAGCTACCACAGCGTCTGTGTGGACTGAAACCATGAAGGGATGGCAATTAGGGGTGGGAATCTCTAAGCAACCTAGATTTTAATCTGATTTAGATTGAGAGGGTTATGATATGATTATAAAACGACTGCATCTTGATGTAGGAGTTTTGGATTTTGATATGATTTATGTTTTTCTCACTGTGTGACTACTTGCTGCTTTTGTATTTGTAATGATGTATAATTTAAATAAGCAGAGGAACGTATTTCTATGATCTTTTACCAATAGTTGTGACAAATGGAAGGTTACATTTGCCAACATGTTTCCCAGCATTGCGAAGAACCAACAAGATAAGAAACATAAGTGTGTCTGTAGCTCTATCCTTGTAGTAAATGAACAGTGCACAGACTTTTAAAATCAGTGGAAACAAACCGCTACTGCCGGTCGGGTCATATCTGTCTTCGGTTGCTCACACTCAGCCTCCTTCACCAAAACTCTTAACTCTTAAAGCTAACTTTAACTTAGAACGGAAACACAACGCAAATGTTCTTGTCAGTTCTCATGGAAATCTGTGTGGGGAAAGTGAAGGAGCAGAGCTTGCCCCTCCCTCATTACCACCACCGAGGTGCCCTTGAGCAAGGCCGTTACCCCAACTGCTCAGTGGCCAGCAGATCAGACTGTGGTTGCATTGGACAGATCCAGGTATGAATGTGTAACAGTGAGAATGTGATCACAGTGCTCCTGCAAAAGAGAGGCTTCTTCCCAAGGAATCTCCCCTGAATAAATCAAGGTTAAAAAAAAGTGAAAGAATTTGGTTTTAAATTTCAGATTCTTTTCTGCATGGAGACACCCCAGACAGGACAGTCAGTCAAATAACAGAAACCATCTGATTCAGTCTGATTATCAGGATAGAAACACTATTCAACATGCCTGCCTGTGTGCAGCAGGGAGTGTCTGCTCTCTGTTTCACTGTAACAGTGAGCAAATATTTGGAGCTGACTCTCATCGTGGCTCACAGCAACTATTTGCTTGTCATTTCGATTTGGGTGTGCTGCAAATTTTTGCGGCCCACTGAGAGAATTTCCTCCATGATCTAATCCAGTCATACAGAGTGTGTGGGAGGAAGCATTAAGTATGTGCATTAAACATCCTGTGCGTGTCTGTGGGAGAGCAGCGGGAAGCCCCTACCTTGCCGAGCGGTGTACTCGTTGTCTTCGATGAGCCTGGCCAGGCCGAAGTCAGCGATCTTGCACACCAGGTTGTCCCCAACCAGGATGTTGGCGGAGCGCAGGTCTCTGTGGATGTAGTTCATCCTCTCGATGTAGGCCATTCCTGCTGCCACCTGGAGCACAGCACAGAGAGCACGGCCGCGTCAACACTCATCTTTGCTTCTGCTGAATACTGCAACTGTGGTTTGCCTCAGGATGCGTGTGGAGAGAGCTTTTTCTACAGCATTACTGGATTATACTTGAAGTCCCCCTCCAGTCAAAAATCTGTATTTCTTCTTGTTGCTGCAGTGTGATGTTTGAATGTGCAGAGTTTGACACTAGAAGGATGTTTTCACATTCACCTGCTGAAAGTTTCTCTGTGTTCATTGAAAAAAAAAAAAAGATCTGTAGAGCTGTGACTGCAGAACAAAAGAAGATATTTAGGTAGAAGTCAGACGCAGCTTTTGTTAAGAAAAAAAGCCTCTTGTACTCCTCGGGCTTTAGAAGTGCCAATAGTTGATGGTAGTTCATATTTTGACACTTTTCCATTAAACACACAGTGCTAACAAATACCTCTGTGCTGTTTGTTAGTTATATGATTATATATAGATAGACATTATAGAAATATAGGTTTTTCTATAAGCCTTCAGGTGATCTATTAAAGCTGCAGTAGGTAATTTTTATCACAATCATTTTTGTCATATTCACTGAAACTTTCACTATATCCTAAGGCTGCTCAATTAATCGAAATTTGATCATGATTACGATTTTGGGGCCAAACGATCTCAAAACTAATAAAAGCTGCAAGCAGCGTTGGGCGG